GAGGGAGAAGCAGGCTCCCAAGGAGCAGGAAGCCCGACGCGGGACTCGATCCCAGGACCCTGAGATCATGACCTGAGCCGAAGGCAGACGCTCAACCGTCTGAGCCACCCAGGCGCCCTGTTGTTTTTTTTTTTAATCAAATGTAGTCCCATGTGTCAGTCTTTCCTTTATGGGTTGTGCTTTTTTTTTTTTCTCGTGGTTATTTTTCAAGGAAAGCATATTTGTCTTACAAACTTTTTTTCACTTACTGTTATTATTATTTTTTTACTTTTAGATAACTACCAAGTGGTCTTCCCCACTGGCAACACATGCTCGTATCAAACTGACGGAGTGTGTGGCAACACAGATGCTAGAAAAAAACCTCAGACTAAAGTGGATATTACGTGGATTCTTCTATTGCGCTACTATATTCATCTGCAAAGGATTAATAATATGAGCAAACTGCTAGGTAGGTTTTTGATGTGTTAAGAAAAACACATTCTTTTCCAGGTCTTGTTAAGTCGTGTTTTTTATTTGGAATTTTAAAATACTCTCGCTATCTTTTGGAGTGAACTCTCATCAGAATATGAAAATTGTAGGGGCTCTTAACCTGAGATACACAGATTTTTGGGTGGAATAGTATTTCAACAAGTCTGACTTCCTCTGACATTATATATATTTTATTTCACGTATTTAAAAATGTTATTGTAAGGATGCATCCAGAGGCTTCCCAAGTCTGCCAAAGTGGCCCATGGCTCAAAACAGTTAAGAACCAGAGTGATCACAATGTGACAGCTTATAAAATGAACAGGATGAAATTTTGACTTTAAGGAGAGGATGTTCCAGTATTCAGTATGTAAGAGGACAAATACATGAGTTCAGATAAGATATGTAACTCCATTGAGTAGTTTTGTTTTGTTTAGTTTTTGTTGTATCATCAATGCTGTCTTAAGAACATCCAGAAAAACTGGTATAATCTGCTTCGTGTTAGTCCCCCTTGTGTTTGTGACAGTGTATGTTGTATTTTATCTGTGCCCATGAAATTGGTGATTTTGTGTTGTTCATCAGTGCAAATAGTCGGAAAAGACAGTTTGACCCATGTCAGGGCCCAGTGATGGAGAAGCCAGCAGGGCAAATAGGCTGAGTGACTAAGCAGGGTTATCAGGAGTTATCGTGGGATAGACAAACATTCAGAGAGGTGTCAGGTATAAAAGGTACATCATGAGAAGGGCAAGAATGAAAGAAGTTCAGTAGCAAAGGATGCGAACATGAGCCAGTACGGCATACTCTGGCAGTGCCTGCCCCATAGCAACTCAGCTCACCTTTGAATTCACCTGCTGGCACCTGCCATGTCACGTGCCCACATTTTACTGCTTTTCTGCCCTGGGCTCCTCCTGAAGCTACTGAGACTTGCTCAGCCCTGTCAGGACAGCCCAAAGTGCCAGGGATTCCCACACATACTTATGAGGTAGGAAACTGGTAGAAAACATTCCAGCTTCCCGGTCCCAGACAGTTCTACATGTTATTTTTCAGCAGGTCCTCAGCAGGACTGAGCCCTGATTGTCCAGAGCTACAGCCCATCCATTAACTCACTCTATTGGCTCTTCTCTCCATCACACTTTGTTCTTTGTCTCACTTATGCTCCTTGAGATCACTTTTCAAATAAATGACCTGCACCTAAGTTCTTGCTTTAAGATCTTTGTCGGGGTAAGTCCCAAATAAGATGACTACATAGAATATTTTGCATGGTCAAGAATTAGAACCTAAAGCAATATCCTCACACCCTTCTGAAATTTTCTTCATTCCTGTGGCAAGAAGCAGTTCCATTAGTGAATAAGCTTAAGAAGAGAGGAATTACACTGGCAGCCACTAGCTGAGGTGTGTGATTTACAGGGAGAGCGGCTAATGAGCAAATACCAACAATACTGAGACTGTTCTGTTATCTAACATGACTCTAAAGTAACATATTTTTCTTCCCTAAGCATCTCCAAAGCCAGGATCTGGAATTTCATTGCCAGATGATACACTTCTCACATCCCTTTTCAACTCTGGGCTGATTTTGCGCCAAAAAGAAATGCATTTTTTCCTTAAAAGATTTTTACAGCTGTATTCTTCCTCTTGTATTGATGAATTTCCAAAAGAACTCTGTAAAGGATTGGAAAATACACTTTTTTCGGAAAAAATCTCATCTGGTTCAGTCAAGGTACTGTTTTCAAACATTATATATTTTTGTAAAACTTCTTAGAATCATTGTTATATTTCTGAAGGAAGCACATTTGAGAAAACTCAAGTGGACGTGGTGTTTTGTAAATTTCTAATATGTATTTATAAAATGAATAAATCAAGTCATTTGCATTGAGTTCTTTCCAAACAAAAAAAATATCAGTCATTTATTTTGAATTATCTTGACTTTGGACTTCACCATATATTGCTTTCATTTTTTTGATATAAACTTGCCCATACCAGACATGTCTGGCTTATTTCTAAGCCCAGAGAAGTGACCTGAAAATATGACTTCTTCCAAATTGAGAACCTTTGCTTATCTTATCCTTCTAGATTGTTGGATAGATAATAATATTTTCTCTTTTTTTAAATCACTCTTTTGAACAAAAAAGTGAGGTGACTAGTAATAAATTGTGATTTTAAAAAGTAGTGGGAATACCTACTAAGAGATAATTTAAGAATTCATACTAAGAGATAATTTAAGAATTCATTTATTTTTATTTATTTATTTGACAGAGAGAGACACAGCAAGAGAGGGAACACAAGCAGGGGGAATGGGAGAGGGAGAAGCAGAGTCCCCACAGAGCAGGGAGCCCGACGCAGGGCTCAATCCCAGGACCCTGGGATAATGACCTGAGCTGAAGGCAGACGCTTAACAAATGAGCCATCCAGGCGCCCCTAAGAATTCATTTAAAGAAGTGATTCTCAGGGAGAGTTAGGGAGTTGCTCTCAGGGCAGTGTATTAGAATCCACATGGGAGGATTTTTTGAGTTAGTTCCCAGATACTGGGATATTGGTATGCCTAATACTTAACACCCCTATTTCTTGCCCAGATTATAAATCATTTGAGAAATAAAAGAGTTGAAGAGTTTGGGATTAAAAAAATACCCACCTGTATGAGTCATAATGTTGACATTGCAGGATATGGTTTATATTTACTGGCAAATGGTCTTCCTAAAAGCAAATAGCAGAGTAGACAGATTTTTCCAATTCAGCTGTGTTTGTTTTTGTTTGGTTGGTTTGGTCATTACAGGCCCCCTTAAAATCTGTGGGGACACAGACCCCTTTAAAATCTGTCTCATGGGGACGCCTGGGTGGCTCAGTCCTTAAGCATCTGCCTTCATCTCAGGTCATGATCCCAGGGTCCTGGGATTGAGCCCCGTATCGGGCTCCCTGCACAGCAGGGAGCCTGCATCTCCCTCTGTCTGCTGCTCCCCCTGCATGTGTGCTCTCAATCTCTCTCTCTCTCTCTCTCTGACAAATGAATAAAATCTTAAAAAAAAAATTAAAAAAAATACACTCTGTCTCATGAAGGAGCAGAGAATATTCACTCTCTACAAACCATTCTCTCCCAAGAAGAAAGAGCATAATTATGCATATCCAACATTTCTTTTTTCCCAAATTCACCAATCAAGTAGTTCTCCAGGGGAGGGAAGGGAGAGGGGGCAGAAAGGTCAGGAATGTACTATAAATGTCTGGCCCTCTGCTGGGAAGGAAGCAGCAGGAGTGGGATGAAATCATTTCCATCTAACACCAGATCCCGATTCACCCCTCTAGAAACCGTGACTCCCTTTGAGGATTACTGCCAAGTGTCCCAGATGCCTCAGGTATTCTGGCACAAGAGGCAGAGAATGAGAAGGTGGAGAACTATAGTTTTGTGAATGTATTCTTGTGACGATTTTGTATGAGTTTGGAAACTAATAGGTGTGATTTCTTAATATTCCAAAAGGAGCTCTGCTTGAGTATTTTAGTATTAAGGGCAGCCTACTAAGCATGATGCTCCGAACGTAGAACCTTGAATACGTTGTAAATATATGCAACACTTCTAATGGTAGCAGTGTTATCAGAGATCGTTGTACCCTGTTTGCTCTTTTTTTTTCTTTAATATAATTAGTGTAACACTTTCCCAGAATAATCGGCTCTGGAGATCACTGTTGCTCGTCTGACAGGTGCAAGCCACCTAATCATGTGTTCATTTCACTGGGGTAGACAGCTAACGAGCATAGAGCCTTTTGGATTTTTAAAAAAATAAACTGCAAGCTTGGCTGATTTTTATAATAACGTTTTTGAGCTTTTAATCACTCAGGAGGCTATTTCAATCAAACTCTTTCCATAAATTGATACTTAATCCTGCTTTTCCTCCACAAAGAGGTAGATGTCTTTCCAGAGCGATCATTGCTAGGTGCCAGGCTCATCAGTGTGTGCGTCTGCATATCGTTAGGTCTATTGAAGCTCTGTGATGGAAAAACAAAGGTGCCAAACAAATTACATTAAAAATTCCAAGAAAAAAGGATATGATTAAAATTATGCACAATGCTGGCTTATTCATGTTTAGACTTGTCGTAAGGTCGAATATTTGACTAGTGTAAAGTGACTTGTCGTTTATAGGACTGTGGCAAGCAAGACCTCTCCTGGTAGGTCTGTTGTTTCATTCCTTTCAAAGAATAAATCAAAAATATTGAAAATATTCAGTGTATGGTCCATCAGTTAGCATATATGCTTAATTCCATTAGCAACTAGATTTTATGTTTTTTTAAAGGTAATGGAAAATTAAATGCCTATTTTGATATTGACTTTTGTTACAATTTACCATTATTAGACCATGTTAATAAATGCTATATATATTAAAATAGTAAATATTTGCTTATTATTTTTCTCTGCTTAGTTATTAAATATGAATTCTTGCTAAAATAGTTGTCAGAACCTCTGAAAGGCACTCAGATATGAAGAAAATTAAATTCCAAAATTATTTTTGGAATCAATTATTTACCTGAATTTTTGGTGAATTGCCTGGCATAGAATCAATCTTAGTTTAGCACTTTTAAATGATTATTTAAACCTAATAGTCTTGTTTATTGTTTATTTTGGTCATGTTTTTAGTATCATAGTGCTAATAAATGAGGATTCTGGCTTAAAATATCCTTTTATGATGATAGTCTCTAGACATTTTTGAAAAGTTTTATCTTTAATATTACCTTTCAGTCATGACATATTTTTTTCTCTTATCAGTAGACAACTTGAAAGGTCAGTGTCTTTATTTCTCTTTTTATTTTATTTTGAAGACTCTCATTGACAGTCTTATATTGTATCTTGAACAAGCTCAGAAATAATGGGAGGTACAAAGCCATACAGAAACACCAGGCATTTCTTACTGGCCACTTACATGTTCCCCTTCATCATCAAGCCTTAAGATACCTTAGATGTCAAAAGTTCAACAGAAGAATTGCTTCCCAGCTACCATATTATAATCTTGGGAATAACAAGTTAATTTTGAAAATACTTTGCACTCCATTAAAGAAAGTCCTTTTCAGATTTGAGGTATTATTATCACTATTATTATCTCTCTGTCTAGACTGTTATTTTTTTATAGCAACCATGCTTTGCTTTCTGAGCTACTTTTAAAAAAAACTGAATAATTTGCGAAATTGCCAGTTGCATTCCACACATTTATGTTTCCTGGAAACTCCTGATTCAGGGACCTGGTTCCATCAAAGCTAGGCCCAGATTCACCAAGACTGAATTAACAAATCAGCCACATTCATGTAAAGAGGGAATGAGAGCGATTGATTTTAATATTTTACAGCAAAAACTGTCTTAATTTGCATATGACACAGAAAAAAACTGCTGTTGGAAGGTAGATGTTATTTATAATCATACCGTCAGTTTATTCACCACTGAATAAATAAGAAAAAAAAGAGATATTCTTAGAATCTGAGGCGATCTTGAGACTGAAATGATAATATTGACATTTTTCCTCTCTAGATCTTTACTCTGGGAAAGTCACCAAAGTGGAAGACATTTGTTGAGTCCCATGGTTTTTTTTTTTTTTTAAAGATTTATTTATTTAGAGAGAGAGAGCCTGAGCAGAAGAGGGAAAGAGAGAGAGAGACAATCTCAAGCAGACTTTGCACTGATCTCAGAGCCTGACGCAGGGCTTGATCTCACGACCCTGAGATTATGACCTGAGTTGAAACCGAGTTGGACACCTAACCAACTGCACCACCCAGGCACCCTGAGTCCTGTGGGTTTTGAAGCGTATTTTTCTGTAGTAAAATCTTCTCTGGTAATTGGGGACAGTTTTAAAAGTGACACTCATAAAACAAACTAAGACAATTCCCAGAGTTTTATAATGTAGCCAATACTGAATGGATATTGAGTGAATGTTTTAAATATTGCATGAATTTATTACCAGCAATTAAACTGTTTTTGATTTTTCCCTAGTTATGTCATGACAGTTCTCTACACTCTGATTTATCATTAAATAAGCTCTCTGCCAGCCCATCTTCTGGAGATGTGTCATCAGTTATGAAGATACAAGATTTAAACAAAGAACTTTGCTTTCAGTGGTACATTCCTCCTCTAGAAAGACCTCCAAAGGACACAGAACCTATGGTATGTAATATAATCACAAAGCTAAATCTTATATTTAGATGTAAGTTTAACTCGACCATTATAACTTGAAAATAGAGAACAACCCCTTGTCATATAGATGAAAATATACAGCAATATAGAATCTATATTGTCTAGTAGAATGAGTCTGAAAATAACTAAGAAATCAGGTAAAGTCTGACTTGAGTTGATCATTTTTCCTTTTTCCTGATCTTCAAGGGAAACTTTCCAGTGTGTCACCATAATATAGGATGTTTAACTTTTTTTTGCATCCATTCCTTATCACATTAAGGAAGTTTTTTTCTACTGTCTACTTTGCTAAGAATTTTTATCAAAATTTTTTGCTGTGTCTTTAAGATTATTTTATAATTTTAAAAAATATAGTAATTGATTTTTTAAATATTAATCAGTCTTCTGTTCCTGAGATAAACTCAAATTGATCATATATTAATTTTATTGGATTCAGTTTATTAAGGTTTTACATTGGATTTTTGCCACTGTTTAAGGGTAATATTGAGTTACACATTTTCATTTTCATACTGTCTTTGTCAGATATATTTTGTATAAAGATTTTGTTAGACTTATAAAGTGAGTTGGTAAATATAACCGTGTTTTTCTATTTTCTGGTGACATTTCTGTAAGTTTAGAGTAAACTTTTCCTCTCAAATATTTGGTAAGAATTCATCAGGAAAGCCGTCTGACCCTAGTGTTTTCTTTGTGAAAAAATTGAAAATTAGTAATATAATTCTCAATAGTTTGAGGCAGTCATTAAGCACTAGTACTCATTTACTAGATGCCAGAGTTGGTATCAGTTCTGATTGGGTCAGTATCTGTTCTAATGGTTAGTACCCATGTCAAACCAAGTTTTAAATATTTTGACTATCACCCCTATTTATAGAACATTGGAGTTTACTGTTTCTTCTTGAGTCAGGTTTGTTTAAGTTGCTTTATCTAGGAATTTTTTCATTTTATTTAAAACTTCTCTCATACTTTTAATCTCTCCATTGTATTTGTATTGAAGTGTCCCTTTTCATTTCTTACATTGGTTGTTTGTGTATTTTTTCTTGATCATTGTCACCAGAGGTTTTTCATCAGTTTTATTTCACTGATCCGTATATCTTTCTTCTACTTTGTTTTTGTTTTGTTTTGTATTCTTTTCCTTACTCCTGACTTCTTGAGATAGATGTTTGGCTTAATATTCAGTCCTTTCTTTCCTAATGTATGCATTTGAAGACTGAGTTTCATTAAACATTGCTTTGGTTTCATCCCACAAGTTTTTATTATAGTATTATCATTATCATTCAGTTAAAAATAATTTTAAAATTTTTGTTACAATTTATTCTTTGACTCATGGGCCATTTCAACATGTGTTTTTTACATTCCAAACTACATAGAACTTATGTATATTTTATATATTGTATTAGAAAAATATATTGTATTATATATTGTATTATAATTTGTTTTTTATTCTTAGATTATGTTGTTCTGTGATAATAAAAAAAATGCTCTGTATGATTGATATTGTTGAAACCTGCATATTTTCTCCAGGAAAGGATTTATTGTGTAAATATTCCATTGCTCTTAAAAGAAATGTGCAGTCCTCAGTTGCTAAGGCAGTATTCATATATATACCCAATAGGGGTTTGGTTAGTCTTGTTCAAATCTCTATTCTTGTTTGTTTGCCTTTAATTTTTTAAAATCAGTTATTAAAAGAAGTATATTTAAATCTATTGCAGTGATTGTCATTGTTTAGTCTGTCAAATTTTGCTTTACATAATTTGAGACTGTGTTCTTAGGTGCAATCAAATTAACTGTTGTATCTTCTTGGTGAACTGAGCATTTTATCATTTTGAAATGACTCATGGCCTTTTTGTAATAATGTTTTTTTCCTCATAAAGTCTGCTTTGTTTGATATTACTAGAGGAAAATGACTTTCTTGTGGTTATTTTCACAGTGAAACCTTTTGCTTTCAACCTTTTTGTGTACGTGTGTTTTATGTTTTTATCAAAGGCATGCATTTGAATATTTTCAAATATAGTCTGATAACATTGTATTTTGACTGGGGAATTTAATACATTTACATTTAATGTAAATGCTAATATATTTGGTTTTAAATCTATCATGTTATTTTGTGTTTTTATTTGTCTGAGCTCTTCTGTTTTTCTCTTTTCCCTTCTTTTGGATTATTTTTATCATTTTCCTCTATGAGTTTTGAAATTATACACTTTTTTCAATGCTTTTAGTGGTTACCTGCAGGACAGCATACATACTTATCAACATCTAAAGTTAATAAATATCTTTTTCACTCTAATGACTTTTATATTACTGTACATTTTCTTTTTTAACCCAAAATAATATTATTTTTAATTGCTTTATACAAGAGTTATTTCCTTTAGAATTTTCTCTGTATTTACTACTTTTTTTTTTTTTTTTTTTTTTACTTCATCTTGCATTTTAGACATTTTATCTAGGAACACTTCTTTCTGTTGAAGTATATACTTTGGAATTTCCTTTGGTGAGGATCGTCTAGAGGCAAACTCTCAATTTTTGTTTGCCTGACAAATGTCATTATTTTACATTAATTTATGAAATACATTTTTATGGAGTAGGTAATTTAAGATTGGAAATTATTTTATTTCAGTACATTGAAAATGTCATCTCCTTACTTCCATTGTTGTTGTTGAGAGACAAACTTTTATTGCTTTAAAGTATTGAATTTTTTCACTACCTGCTTTTGAATTTTCTCTTTGACTTTGCAGAATTTTATTGGGAATGGTTTACTTTTTATTTACTTTGCTTATATTAGTGTAGTGGTTAAGAACACAGACTCTGGAGCCAAATTACCTGGGGTGGAATCCCAGCTCTGTCACTTAATAATTTTGTGATCTTCAGTAGATTGGTTAAATTTTCTGTATCATAGTTATCCTTTTCTGTAACTAGAGATAATTGGGTAAATGCCTAACCTCAATAAATAGTAGTTGTCATTTATTATTATCTGAAACTATTTTAAAATTATTATGCTGTCTTAAAGGTTAATAACTTCAAATATACATGTAATATACTTGTTAAACATTATTTAAAAGCTTCTTTTAAAATTTAGCAACAATATCTTCTTATAGATACTTCAGCTGCCAACATTGTATAGAAAAGAGAGTAAACTGTGCCTTACAGCAAAATTAAAGTACATAGCATATAGGGAAAAAAACCTTAGTTTGCCTTTAAGTGCCCTTCATAAATTTATATCACACATATCACTCCTTGTTTTAATGTTCATTATTTTTATTTTTATCTAACTCTGCATCTTTATCTTTATCCACAACTATGTCCATATGCATGGAAAGACATTTGCACTAGGGCTCACTGGGGAGCAGGTGGAGATGGGGGAAAGTATTTAGAATCAGTTTAATATCAATCCCTGAACAATTGGAGAAAGAACAGTGATTCACATTCTAGGAGAATCTTGATGAGAGGTCAAGCTTTTAAAAATGGAACAGTTGGTCACTACAGCCATTTGCAGAGGGACCTTCCACCATAGCATTCCTTTGATTGCTGCTCTCTCTAAGAGCCTCAGGCTTTTCCCCATTAAGCAGTTGCCGTATAGTTTTGCCCTGTTCAGCATTTTCATTTGCTTTTTGCCTCCTGCATTGGTCTACTCTTGCATTTTCCAGCTCTTGAGTGGTGTCCCCTCTAGCTGTGCCTCTGGTAGCTTCTGCTGCTCCTTGACCCATGTGACCCTGTCAGATCGTGAAACCTCCTGGGCCTACCTCTCTTTTCTCTTGAACACACTTCTCCCATTGGCCTCTTCATTCTGCTTCCTTAGGCTAGCAACCTGCTGCTAACTCTTGGTCATTATATCTCTTTCTACTCATACAAAAAAAAGGAACTTTAACATATCACTCCCAGGAACGTTTAAAGCTATTTCTCACGTTATGAAAGTATTCTCTTTCCCACACTTTCCATGTCAAATCCTTGTCAGATATTCCATATACTTTTAAAAATAATAAATCTGCATAGTCTCTTTTGGGGAATTTAGTAATGTAGTTTTCAGTTTCTGGATCCAAGAATACTAATGGACCATGGAATCAATATTGTGTGGGTTTTGAGTCGTATTTTTTTTTAAATAAATTAAGAGAAAAAACGTTTTCTGAAATTTGTTTCATGATGTTGTTAAAAACAAAATTTCTCAGATTGACTGATCTTCAGCATATGTCAGAATTTATTTACTTGCTGGCAAGAGAAATAACCAAGTGATTAAAGAGTATATTCATTCAGGGAGGGTATGGATGCAGAAGGATTACATATTTGGGAAATAGAATGTTTACCTAAGGAGCTAATTTTAAAAAATGAGGAAGATAGTATAAACTATAAAGTTCATTTTGCAAGCTCATAGAAATATCACATCCATATCAGTCTGAGACAGAGTGATCTGAGAAGTTAATGCTATGACTCTATCTGTGGCTGATAATTAGAGTAACAGGGTTTTATCCATCAACAATTGTGTCTGATAATGAACATGGAAGCATGAACTGGTGTGAGGCAGAGATTAGAAGGAGAATACCAGCTAACTAATTCTGATTTAAACAGGTTGCTAGAGTGGTTTTCTAATATGCCACAAGCAAAGACACAAGAACACACAGTTTTCCCATTTCTTAGTTTGGGGGCATTTTCCCCCTTTTTGGTAATAAATATTGGGTCATGATGAAAAATGTAGTTGCTCACATAAATTTCAGTCAAAAAATTGGGAAACACTGACTTGGATGGACTAGATCTCCTCAGACCTAAGATTCTATCTTTTCAGAAGATAACACTGAAATTTGTTTGATGATTTAAATATTGGTGTATTTGAACATTTATCTACTCATTATCTTAGCGTAGAGTTTCATGTTGAATAACTGGCTAAAGTTCATGAAACTACAAGATAATAGCAATAGTGAATGTAGAGCTTAGTATATTCTAGACTCTTTGCTTATATTAACTTCACAACAACTCTATGAGGTGGGTAC